ATTACGCAACAGCAGCTCTTCCATCAGCATGGATATTAGTTGATGATACGTACTAATAGGATAGAAAGTAGTTTAGTATTTACCATACTTAATAGTCAGATACTACTACACTAGGTTAGATGTATCGTCTGTCACTGCTGATGTGATGTGTCTGAAGATAGACATAGTACTCTAGTTCATCCATGCTACTATCTCTACTTCATCATATTGTTCTATCCTCATCTGTCTACTTCAGATCTCCTCCGTAGTATGCATAGCGAGCACGCATCCGCTGTACAGGTTCATCTCTGGTCATGATTCACTCGATCTACCGCTGAATGTAGATGCTCTTTCTCTATAGTAGCTATATTGTTATCCCTCCTCTTCTCACTCTTATTCTCTCTATTTCAAGACATATATCTCCTAACAAGAAATAAAAAAAAAAAAATAACAAAAAACACACCCCTCCTCCCCCTCTCCCACACTTTTGCTATTATCATGTGTTATTGAGTTTATACTTTTGTTATATGTGTTCCCTGGTGTATGTCTGAGATACGCTGAAGATATCAAACAACTTGTCTCCCAGACAACAATTGCATAGTGTCATGCTGTGGCTCCGGGGGCGTAGTGGAATTCAACATTCTTCAGAAGGGCGGGCTGCTGCGATCTGATTTTATTTTCCAGGTTGCCCCCGTTTCCCGCCCCAACTTTCAAAAGCTTGGGAAGAAGAAGGCCGGGGCGGAGGGGTGGGGGGGTCTGGGCTGCCCTCCGCCCAGAAACACCTGTCCCTCCTGGCCCAGGACTTCTTCCTTCTGAGCTCCTTCTGAACTTGCCGCGCAGAAACGCGGGGATATCCCTGGTTTCTAGAGATTTCCCTGGGGATTCCCGGCCCCTGGAGCAGAATTTCCCTCCTGGTCATGCTGGCCTGGTTTTCTGAAACGCGGCCTTGGCCAGGGTTTCACTTGAACTTCAGAGCGTCCATGGGGGGACGGGGGGGATGGTTTCATCAGAGGCAGAAGGGACAATGCCGTAGTGCGCCCAGGTTGTAGGGCTCCTTTCCCTCCCCGGAGAACGGGGGACGCAAAAAGAGGAACAGGAATATATTTTGTAACTGTTGCTAAAGTCACCGAGAGGGAGGAGAAACTCATTTTGAGAGAATTTCAGAGATGTGGTGACTCAGAAAAGAGTGTGAGGCAGAAGAGAAAAACCTGAACTGAAGTGAAACTGCAGGAAATCATGACTCTTATCTCCTGGGTGTACTCGGCCTCGCTGTCTTCCCTCCCCACAACCTTGCCCGCAGCCACTACCTAACATTTGGTTAGAATCGAATGTTTCTCTGGTTTTAGAAATAGTTTCTAAATGAGGCACGGAACTCTGGCATGAAACCCGACTTCTGTTAAGAAATGGCTCGGTTCTTCCTAATACCTCTGTCTGGCCCCCTAGATCTTTGTCTAAGAAGAAAACACGTATTTAGGGTTCCTATTCCATATTTGCTTTTAGCCACCACAACACTGACACACATTTGAAAAGGATATCAAGTCGGGGCACTTGAGTGCAGTGGCCATTGATTCTGCAGATTCCTGCCCTGGTGTTTTTGGAGCTAGAAGGTCACCCACAATCCATACTGTCAAGTGGATAAAATGTGGTCAAGTATCTCTTGGCTGTTGTTTATATAAAATGGGGACAAGATGGATGACTTGTTTATATTAGTAAAAGAGCTAAACTAAGCCTACCTTAGTCTTACGCACTTGGCTAGAGGATTGTTTTTCTCACCAGTGTGCAGGGGACTGAAAGAACCATGTAGAACATAGTGTGAAGGCGCTTGCTTGGAGTTATTAGCAAAACATGTTTCTGGCACTTATTTGATAAGATTTTATCTCACTGAAAAACACCTGATGTTGAAGCATGGCCATCGACAGTCATCACTGGAAGACCAGCCATGAGAGGGATCGGCTTGCTTGAAGAAGACCTCAGGGTCATGGTTATTGTTGATGCAGACACTATACTCATGTGATCAGAGCATGTGTTACCTTTTTAATTCTGAAATTAGATTATTACACAGAAGAGATAGGAGAGAGTTCGTGCCCAGGAAGGATTTGGGTGACCTTGACTGCATCCTCTAGTCTTGTTCAATTTCATCTCCGCATTCTTTGTTAGGGAGGGAACTTTGAAGGTATGTCAGGAAGAGCAGAGTTAAAATCAGAATACCTCCAGGGTAAATGAGACGTTGCCTCATTTGAGCATACGAGTCTTGCCAAAGAAGAAAAGTGCATTGGAAAAATGCATGGTGTTGTGAATTGTTAGAGCATGAGCAAGTGAAGGTCATTGGGCTGGGATTTCCTGATGGCTTTGAAGCTCCTGATCCCTGAAAAAAAAACTATCTTCTTGGCTTTGCCCATTCTTTAGCCCTTTCTCAAGCTATGATTTAATTGTAAGCAGAATGATTGAAAGTGTGACAGTAAAAATTAAACACATTTTTATGACCCATTTCTCCTAAAGTAGCTGCCAGTGAAATATTATATATAGATTTGAAAGCTCTTGTGCGGAGACAATAAGTTTCTTTCAAGCTTGATGAACTTGCTAACATATGGAGAGTAACTAGTCGGTATATTTGGAGTGAGTTTTGTTAACTTCATCTTGTATGTGTTAGAAACAGCTGTCTGAATCAGCATTTACTTTTAGGTGAATCGTTGAACAGCTGCCATTTGGTATGTGTGCCTCAAAATTGTGTGTGAATAGTGATCTTTGTTACATGGATGTTTTGAAAGTACATTGTTTCTTAGGATTTAATAAATCTCTAGGTAAAGGGGTATCAGAAGTGTTAAAGACTTACTTCATTTCCAACGATGCTAGTTTTGAAAATTACTTCCACATTCACATTTCCCACAACAAAATGATTTTTCAGAATTGTTTCTAGAAGACTTTCAGTAATTTCCCTTGATAAGATGTTCTTACTAATAAATAATAGAGACCAGCTTACAAGCACATGGGCAGTGTCATCTGTTAGATTTCAGGGAATGACCTAAAAGTGTCTTCTTTTGGTGAGAAAGAAAGCTTAGACAATCTAGGTACCAGTGGCCAATTTAAGACAATTCTCTCTTTTTATGCCTTGTTTCTTTTTTCTTCTTAAACTTTTGGCATGCCTGAAAGTGAACAATATCTTCAAAAACAGAATATTTTCCTGTTTAAGCACTATTTTTTTTTCCTTTTAAAAATTACCATTGAATTGTTGATTCATCAAAAGAAAAATCTGAAAACTCTTCCACATAATCCTATGGAGGGTCAGAAAGTACTGGAAAATCAGGGCTGCAGCTGAGAACTGTGGGATACACAGGTCCTGGGTGGGGGCTGCTGGGCACTTCTAGGCCTGGTAGCAGCAAGTAGCAGTTAGGAAAACTGTTCTTTTCTTAGATGTGTACTGTAAGAGTTAACTTAGGTGGCTGTATAGAAACTATTCGGATAACAGTATCCAGAGTGAAGTCCTCATAGACCAGGTGAGTGAAAGGTAGGAGAGCTGTCCATGTCTGCAGGCTTCTCAGTGTAGGTGTGTCGCACCAGTCCACACAGTTGCTTATTCTTCACTCAGGATTTGTTGGTAGGAGATGGGCATAGACCTGGTCTGATTTATCTGGATAATTATGACAAAGTTATCTTAGGGTCCAGTTTATCTGGCTAGGAATGGCAGTAGGAAGTGGGCAATGATTATAACATTAGTATTTGTTTCAGTTCCTAATTTGCAGAAATGAATGGGTTCTCCTAAGAAATGAGGGATTGCAGCTCCCCTGATGGGAGGAGCAAGGATGGAAGAAAGAAGGAGCAGACCCAGTATAAATAACACACAAACCTATATTGATCACATTGTCTTTTGATAAAAAAAAAAAATGCCTTCAGTGGATAGAGTGTCGGCCTGTGGACTGAAGGGTCCCAGGTTCAATTCCCGTCAAGAGCACATGCCCGGGTTGTGTGTTCAATCCCCAGTAGGGGGTTATACAGGAGGCAGCCGATCAAGGATTCTCTCTCATCTTGATGTTTTTATTTCTCTCTCCCTTCCTCTCTGAAATCAATAAAAAAAAAACAAACATATTTTAAAAAAATGCCTTCAGGCTTGCCAACCTACCAATGAAGCTAGTAGGAGTTTTAAATTAGGAAAATGACTGCAGGTTGGGAATTTCTAGTGGCCATAATTACTTTTGACCACCTTTAGATTTTGTGAACGGAAACCAAGACTTTGGGAATTTAGTGTGAATTGAGAATTTCTTAAATTCAACAGAAATAAAGACACTCACTGAGACACATTCACATTTTCTCCTGTACTTGTGGAAGAAACAGTGGCCTTCCTTCTTGGGTCCCCATTTATGCTTTGATAAACTCATAGAGACAGATGTTAAATCAAGATCTGGCCTGGCTGGGGTGGCTCAGTGGTTGAGCATCGACCTTTGAACCAGGAGTTCACAGTTGGATTCCTGGTCAAGGCACATGCCTGGGGAGGGGCTGGATCCCCAGTGTGGGGTGTGCAGGAGGCAGCCAATCAGTGATTCGCTCTCATCATTGATGTTTCTATTCCTCTCTTCCTCTCTCTTCCTCTCTGAAATAAATGATAAAAAATATTTTTTTTTAAAAAGATCTGCTCAATGAAACACTTCTTTTTTCTATGGTCATTGGCTGCATTATCAAGGGTGCTTTAAATAATAGTAAGTCCTAACATGGCAATAGTGACTTTAATGTTTTTCATTTTTAAGTATACTTTTGCTATGGACTACTGAACTGATTGTAGTTTTACTCCTGTTGTAATCTTTGGTTCCCAGGTGGAAAGTGCAACAGCAGGAGCTCAACCAGCAACAGTGGTTTCTAATATAACTAAAATAAATGCACTGTGAAAGTTTTACAAAATATGCAGTGTGAACTTTGATGGTGAATTTTAATCTCCTAATCAGAAATTGTAATTTATTTTGTCAGTGAAGCTGGGTGATACCATTTAAAGAAACAAGGTACATACGACAATTTGCATTGTGAATGGGAAATGAAGTCAGAAGTGAAGATGAAAGAATAATGGAAAGGAAGACAAAAGAATAAAAGAGTATAATTCATCTGCTACAGTCTGTTTAAAACATTTTAGTAAAACTTAGGACTTGAGAGCTAAAATGCTAACATTTGCAAACTAAACCACACACATACACACACCACCACCACCACCACCACCACCACCACCAAACAAAACTCCAAATGCAATACAGATTTTCTCCTTTGAAACTGAAAATTCATTTAAAAAAGGGACTAGCAAGTTTCTGCCAATAAGGAAATGCAAGCCAGTTTATAAAATGCCTTTTTTGGGTACTACATGTTTTTTTCTCACTTAGAGGAGAAAGGGAAAGATTTAGAAATGTGAAAGCAATTAATTCAGTTTTGCAAATTGCAAGGTCTAGGACCCAAGAAGCTCATATTCTTATGCTTGAGGTTGTGTGGATATTGATGTCTGTAGGATTAGAATAAACTAATAGTTTTTACTAGGAGCCCGAAGTGATTTAGAGAGAGTCCATAGTCTGAAGGAATTTTGGAAGAAGAATAAATGCCTCTGTGCCAAACCACATGGATATTTTTTCTTTTCCTTTTTAATAAACCATTTTTTTTGTTTTAAAGTAAAATATAGATTTGGAAAACCACACAAAACCAGTGCAGAGCTTAGTGAATCATTATAAGGCAAATTTCCTCGTGGCCATTACCAGGTCAAGAAAAGGAAAGAATTTCACAAGCTATCCTAGAAGTCTTCAGGTGCGCCATCCCAATCCTAGCCCTTTTTTATCTCTCCTCATATAACCACGGTTTTCAGTTATCTAGCTCCCGCAAAAGATAATGGCTCTTAAAAACAACTAATTAGCCCAGCCAATGTGGCTTGGTGGTTGAGCGTCAACCTATGAACCAGGAGGTCAGGGTTCGATTCCCAGTCAGGGCACATGCCTGGGTGGCGGGCTCGATCCCCAGTGTGGGGCGTGCAGGAGGCAGCCGATCAACGATTCTCTCTCATCATTGATGTTTCTGTATCTCTCCCTCTCCCTTCCTCTCTGAAATCAACAAAAAATATATTTAAAAATATATAAAACAAAACCTTTTCTAGAACAGCAGATTGTGTCTCTAGATTTATAGAGCCAAACAATGCCTGGCACTCATCCAGAGCTGACAATCGTTCATGCTCCCATCATCCAAAATAGAAAGACCTTGTAATACACAGGGCATTGTATAGAGTCCTCGGTAGCAGCAAGCAGAAATTAGCCCTTGGCTTCAAGGCTGATTTGGACCTGCTCTAATTTAAAAAAAAAAAAAAAGTAAAAAAAAAATGTAAAAGCAAACCTTAGAAGAACCAAACTGATCCTAAGTAACGTAACTGCATGCCTGAACAAAGTCCAACATTCTTTATAGGAATACAACAAAATACACACGCAACAATGTAAAATTCACAATATTCAGTATCCAAGCAAAAAGTGCCAGGCAAAGGAAAAAGCAGGAAAATACCCACAACTCTAAGGAAAAATATCCATCCATAGAAAAGACAGGAATTACAGACCTGGTGAAATTAGCAGACAAGGTTGTTAAGACAGTTTTTAGAAATATATTCCATATGTTAAAGAGGAAAACATGACTACGATGAGGAGAGAAATGGAAGATATTTTAAAAAATCCTTCTCTCCAGTGTTTAGGAAAGAGCAATATATCTACTGCGTTTTGAAGTCTGTTGGAACATCTGTTGGAGAATGTATGCCTGTAACCAGCGTTCTCAATAGATCTGGGAAGGGGGCAGAGCAGGTCTGCGTGTGGAACTGCTGACATGCGCTGGTCTGGGGCCAAGACAAATGAGCAGGATCGACGCAGAAGGAAAACTGTGGATATTGCACGTGCCATTATCTTTGGGGCTACACGGGATGAGTGATCATTTCTGTGATTAGCTCGAAAGAATTCAGAGGTTTTTCCCCAATTTGAATTGAACGCACTTGTTTAAAAATAAATTTCCTATGTAAGCCATGCTGAATGAGTTAGATAGATATGGCCAGATAATTGCCTGAACAAAGCAGACACGAGCTTGGAGTTGGATGAAGATAAATTGTATTAGCAACAATGGAAAAATGTGTACTATCTGGAGTATAAATATCTAAAATAGTTTTATCGGAGAGGATTACGTTAGTAACATTTTTTGAAATGTACTGTTTAAACTTAAAGTAATAATTTTAGAGCATGACTAAGACCTAAGAGCATGGCTATCAACTGGGATGTCAATTCTTTTTTTAAAAATCTTTTTATTTATTAAATTTTTTTAAATTACATTTTTATATTCAGTATTATTTTGTATTAGTTTCAGGTGTACAGCAGAGTGGTTAGATAATCATATACTTTGCAAAGTGTGCCTCCTGATATTTCCAGTACCCAACTGGCCCCGTACCTAGATATTACAATATTATTGACTGTTTTTTCTATACTGTGTATTACATGGGATGTCAATTCTTAGTGAAAAATGATAGCTCCTAGTCTGAGGAATCCTATATAATAAAGAGCTAATATGCTAATGAGACGGAACAGTAGAACGACCTTCCTGACGAAGCCGGGGCTGCGAGGGCCGAGCTCCTTGTACGAATTTCATGCATGGGCTTCTAGTGATGATAATAATGACAGTAAACACTAATATTTATTGAATGCTTACTGTGTAGCAGGAAGTAAATGTCTCAGAGAAAAGTTAACAGAATATCAAATCTTCTTTCAGAAATTCCAAGTCCTCTCTACGTGGTTTTTTCTGTTCTTTCTTTTTAAATCCTAACCTGAGGACATGTTAGAGAGAAAGAGAAATGAAGAGAGAGAAAACAAGAGAGAGAGAGAGAAACATGGATGTGAGAGAGAAACGATTGGTTGCCTCCCACATGGGCCCTGACCTGGGCTCGAACCCACAACCTAGGTGTATACATTGACCCAGAATTGAACCCGAGACCTTTCACTGTACTGGACAACACTCCAACCAACTGAGCCACATCAGCCAGGGCCACATAGCTTTTTCTTTAATGGACAGGAGTATAAGGAGTAACAACTTGATAGGATTTGAACAGGGACTGATTTACTTTATGAGCTAAACTAGTAATTTATCCCTTGGTATAAACTGAAACATTTACTAAATGCTTGACTATATCTTAATTCTAAATTATTGGACTATTTTTTTGAAGTGAAAATTGATGTGATTATAAATAGCTTAATCCAGAAATTAAAATTCATCTAAAAGTTAGCAAAACATAATAAATATGGCACTTGCAAATAGGTAAAAGCAGGCGTAGTATGTCACTTTAAAACTTTAAGTAAATCGGTAGCTGTAGGGACCTTCTTCGCCATAGAAGAAAATGTTTATATTTGTGGAGCAAGACACAAAAGACTCATAAATGGAGCTTTCAGTTTTGAGGAGCAGGCATGATACTCTCCTGAGGATTCACTGAATCCGAAGCTGGAATCTGTTATATTGAATCTGTCAACTGTCTGCCATCAGTTTCTCATATATAAAATGGGACAAGCAGTAATGCCCAGTGAGATAAAAAGAGCTCAGAAATGAAGGCCATATAATCCTCTGATTTCCCGATCCTACGATTATGCTAATAAATTTGTTTTTACTATCAGAGATGGCATCAGGCCTTCCCAGAGTAAATAATTGGCTTTCAGATGCTGCCAAATAATACCTATCTCACACATTTGTTCTGCAGACTAATTAATGTTTCAGAGTGTTTAAACACAATGCCTCTACAGAAGCAATGGCATAATTTGTTGGGACATTCTAGGATTGTAATTAGTGCTAATTAGATTCTTTTCAACAGCTTGTTGCGTTTACAAATTACTGCGTCTAAGGTATTCTGCTTTATTTATTCATTATGAAAGAGTCAGGCACAAAGGTTTAAACAGGAGCCTTTAAACAATTATTCTCAAGATTCTACACATACCCCTCCCCTCAAATCAGGGGAGGGTGGTAGCAACAGCTTTCTAGTCTGGGGAGAGCAGCTGTGTGCTGGGACTTAGCTCACACTGGCTGGTGAGCGCTGAATCTGGGCTTCACTTCCTAACTCAGAGATCAGTGACATCATATTGGTAGCTTGCAGTCAGCCATGATAGATGTTTGTTTGTTTGGACCCAGTTTACCAGCACATCACAGCCAGTACCGCTGTATTCAGGGCATGGAATCTGGTCTCAGAGAAGCAATTGCCCGTGGCCTGAAGCCAGATTTCAGTTGCATATTAGAATGGGCCCCACTCTAACACTCCCCAAATCTCAGTAGCTTGACATGATAATGATTTATAGCTCACCCATTATACAATCCAATGTGATCCCCTGTGGGGTAGAGACGGGGGTGGGGTCATTCAGGGACCCAGAGTCTTTCTCTCTAGTACATTGTGCCATGGACCCCTTGACAGACTGGTGAAACCTATGGATTCCTTCTCAGAATGACTTTTTTTTTTAATGAAAAGAAAAAAAAAACAACCTCACAGGATTATAAAAGAAACCAATTTTATGAAAATGCAGTTATCAACATATTTTTAAAATCTGTAATATAATGATGTATGGGCTTCTTTATGCATTCAATGGCAAGGTCTTGTGGTGGGTCTAATAACTGCTGTCATCTTGATGAAATGCTTTTTTCTAAGACATGCAGCACATGAAATGTGCAGTGAAACATCTGTGATCTCGACCGATGACAGTCACAAGTACTGCTCTCCTCTGCGATGGTTTGTTGCCTGTACACAATACTGAAGGAGATGCTGAATTTGAGTTGGAAGTTAATCAAAATAATTGTTACTTCCCCCATTCAACTTTTGGACCCCCTGAATTCTATCTGCAGATCCCATAAGGGTCCACAGACTCCAGAGTAAGACCCCGATTTAGTGACTCCATTATTCTTAGGGGCACAAAGACCTTAACTGGATACCCTGCATGTGTCTGTGGAGAAGAGGAGGGATAGTGGCAGACTAGTTGCCAACATTTTATGAACCAGGCCTGGGGTCCGTTCCTGTTCAGCCTTAGCGTTTCCACATGACCCAGCTTCCTTCTGTATCTGTTTGGCAATTTCCATCAAAAGTCCTATCTTTTTTCTTTTCTTTTTTTTTTTTTTAATTGATTTCAGAGAGGAATGGAGAGAGAGAGAGAGATAGAAACATCAATGAGGTGAGAAAATCATTTATGGGCTGCCTCCTGCAGGCCTCCCACCTGGGTTTGAGGCTCAATCCCATATTGAGGCTCAAAGCATATGCCTTGACTGGGGATCGAACCCTGACCTCCTGGTTCATAAGTCGACGCTCAACCACTGAGTAACACTGGGCGGGCAAAAGTCCTATCCTTTTGTTGATCACCTCTTCTCTTACATCCCCTCAACAGGTTGACTCTAATATTTTAATGAATAGGTTTTCTACTTTATATTCTCACTTTGAACGTAGGCTATCTCTTTACATGATCTTTAGATAAGAAACATTTAAGCCTTCTAAGCTTGAGCTGTAGACGTGTATGACCATTGAACTCTTGAAATGTGGATAGTTCAAATTCAAATATAATGCAAGTGAAATATACACACTGGGTTTTTAAGTCTTGGTACAAAGAAAAGAATGTAAAATGTCTCATTAATATTATTTAATAGCAATTACATATTGAAGCAATATTCTTTTGGTTCTAGTGGGTTAAATGCACTGTTAAAAATTTTAAGGTGCCAAAGAAATCTTGAAATTACCCTAGAGGCTCACATCTGTGGCTCACATGATATTTATTTTAGACTCTTGTTTCTGAATAAAGATTTGTAGAAGATTCATAGAGCTGCAAGGGACTTGAGAGAGAAGCATCTAACCCAATCTCTTAATTATAATCCCAGTGACTGAGTGAGCTACCCCTATCTGCATAGCTAATAATGGCAGATATGGGACTGGAACTCAGGTCTCCACACCTTGGTACAGAGTTCTTTTCATAGTCCATGGAATGTCAATCAAATTAAACGAAACCCCAAATCTCCAAGTTTTAAGTTTCCAGTCCAAGCAGAATATACTGTAATTCAGTGTTATATGTAAAAATCCTGAAAATGGCAAGTCTTTTTTTAATCGTATGTACTGTATGATTCAGCCCTAAATTTAAAACTTAAGTATAGCTTTCCCTTGGTATTGAAGAATTGCATTCACAGGTGGGTAGACAGACTGGCTGGTACTTGACTCTCTGATGAACGCAGAAAAAAGGAGCAATGAGGTCATTCTCCTCTGTCCCGCTGTTGAATGTGTAAGCTCATAAAGAAGTGCTAAACTATTCCTATCTCTCCAGGATTTTGTTTGAAAGATATGGGAATATGTGTCACCCTAGGACTTAACCTGACTCCCTCTTCCTCCCAGCCAGGAGGTGGTAGAGTAGATAGCAATTAAAATAAATAAATGATGGGCTTAATGTTCTCTTCTTCCATTTTTTCTTCTTGGCTCCCACTCTGGACTCTGTAGCCAAATTTAAGAGGATGTCTGGAATCTTTAATGATCTTTTGGTTCTAGAATATTCCTTCCCATGGGATTTTTCTCCCTCCAACTTACTCTCCCTTTGTAAAGCACCAATTTTCATAGGATTGCATTTGGGCCATTGTGTATTTAAATTATATTTAAGATAAGAGTTTAGATTTTAAAAAGCTCTTACCTTAAATGCTATATTTTCAATACATCAGGGATACAGGAATATCTGGTGGAGGTACATCCTGGGCAAAGGAAACAGCAAGTTCAAAGGCTATGAATTTGGAAAGGAGCTAGTTTTGTCTTAGGAACAGCAAGAACGCCTGTGTGGTTAGACATGAGCAATGTGTGCTAATGAGGGAGGGGAGGAGGTAGGTGGGACCACATCACAGAGGAACTTACAGGACATTGTAAAGACTTGGGCTTAAGAAATCATGAGGAGTTCTGAGCACAAGAGTGACATAATTTGGTTTCTCTGACTGCTGTGTAGAGAACAGACTGTAAGAGGGACAAGGGAGGAAGCTGGAGGTCAGTTAGGAAGCTAGAGCTATAATCCAGGTCAGAGGTGGCCCAGGCTAGGGAGTAGCTGGAGGTAGTGAGAAGTGGTTGGGTTATAAATATATTTAAAGGTAGAGCTGCCCTAGCCGGCTTGGCTCAGTGAATAGAGCGTTGGCCTGTGGACTGAAAGGTCCTGGGTTTGATTTCAGTCAAGGGCACATGCCTGGGTTGTGGGTTCAATCCCCAGTAGGGGGCGTGCAGGAGGCAGCCAATCAATGATTCTCATCATTGATGTTTCTGTCTCCCTCTCCATTCCTCTCTGAAATAAATAAAAATATATT